TTGTTCTTGATTCTTCCAAAACTTTTCTGAACCTGATTGGAGACTACTTCTGCAAGCATTTAACTGATTTTTGATACTACAATGCTAGTTTAGAATTAGACATACAGATCACTAGATTTGACTGTATAGTCTAGAATATGCAGAAACATATAACATATATAGGCATTTATTTTATGGTAAGTTACAAAAAATTAGTGATGAAAGAAATTCTGTAGAGAACAGATGACTCTCAAAAAGAATAAAAAGTTATATTTTATCTTTTAGCCTCAAATCACAGACCAAAACACACTTTAGTTGGATTAAAATATAATAATAGGGCTAGATGGCAATATAGATCTATATGCCATAAGATGTTATTATGGCAAAATGTTATTATGGCAAAAGTGTATCTCAATGTCACCCACAAGTCAGATGTCACAACATGACAGTTTGATAGGTGTGAATACATAAAATTTTAAGATTTATCTGTATCTGAAAATACCATACCTGAAGGAAAATAAAGAAAAAATATTAATCTTTTTTTGTGAAGAAAATCATTAAAAGAGAAATTTTAAATGGAAAGTAGACAAACTTCATAGACAGGATCTCAAAATTAATGAATGAATATAGCCAAAAATATTTCGACATCATTATACTAACCTGTAATTAATGAATCTGAAATATTTCAGTTGGGATATCACTTTTCCAATACAGATTGACAAAAATTTCAAAATTTTGATTCTTTTTCTTTTTCTTTTTCTTTTTCTTTTTCTTTTTTTTTCGAGTTGGAGTCTCCCTCAGTTGCCCAGACTGGAGTGCAGTCTGACCGCTCCCGGCCACTGCAGCCTCGACCTACTGGGCTCTGGCGATCCTTCCACCTCAGCCTTCCAAGTAGCCGGAATTACAGGCATGCGCTACCACACCCGGCTGATTTTTAGATTTATTGTAGAGATGAGGTCTCGCTGCCCAGGCAGGTCTCGAACCCGCCAGCTCAGGCAATCCACTCACCTCAGCCTCCCAAGGGCACGGGATTACAGGCTGAGCCACCGAGCCCAGCCAAAATTATGATTCTGATGTTAGAACAATATCCCTCAGGAAAAAGAATCCCTCAGGTATTGTTGATGGAGGGTGAATTTTTACACTTTCTGCTGTGCTTTGGCAATATTTATCAAAAGTCTAACAAAATATTTATACCCCTTCGTCCAGCAAGACTCTACCTTCAGGAACTCAGACAGGTACAGATGTATGAACAAGAGTGATTTTTAAATTCCCTTAGCATATCTGAAAGATATTCAGCAAATACAGCGAATATGATTGACAATTGTCTGTGTATGGAGACTTGAGTAAGAGGTGGGAATTTAAATTGATCCCAAAGTATCTAGCAAGGAATAGAAATAAGGAATTCAGAGATATAGCAGGTTTATTTTTTTCTCCATTTTTTGAGAAGTATGGGCAATGACAGAAATTTGAAGAAAGATAAGACAAGAACTACATAGTGGAAACATAAACTGTAAATATCTGCTATAGCATTACTTTTTAATATTCAATATTTTAAAAATAAAGCATTGTTTTTTTCTTGAGTACTTCGATACATATAATCTTCGTTGGGCAGTTTTCTTCCAGATCGACACTTGGGGACCAGGAGCTTTAGTTATCCCTGTGGCTCTCTTATCTTCAGCTTATATTTCCAGATCACCCAAGAGGATAAACGTGGGAGGGTTCTATTGTCTGGGCCTTTGATCAGATGTCCAGAACTGCAGTCCTCAACCTAGAGTGACCTAGGTCCCTCACAAGCACAGCTCACAGTAGGGTTTGTGTGCCTGGGAGAATCTAATGCCGCAGCTGATCTGACAGAACATGGAGTGCCACTTGCCCCTCCCCACCTCCTGCTGTGCAGCCTGGTTCCTAACAAGCTCTGGACTAGTGGGAGTTGGGAACTCCTGAACACAAATCACAGTTACACCCAGCTGCAATGGAGACTGGAAAATTCTTAGCTGAACACTGAAAACAAGAGAAATATGTGTTATCTGCTAGAAATCTCTGCCCCAATATACCCTTCTGATCACCAAATTTTTTTTTCATCTCTTTTTACTCACACAAGCTCCTATACACCCTGTCCAAAGAAACAAGGTAGAGTCCCATCCAGCCAGTGTTATCCAACTCAAAGACCAAGATCCTTAGATGTGTGGATATAATAATCCAGGAACCCCACCCCTACAAGACAAGTTATTAATGCTTCTCTGTATCCCCAAACAATGGTATAACAGAAAAGGAGAAGCACTCCTCAATAATAAATGCCCTTATCTGGAAATGAAGGAAGAATGGGAAACACTGAGTAATCACTGAGCCATAGTAACTAAGAACACATACCACTCTGGCATTAAAAGGTCCCAATGACATGGCAAAAGTTGTGGTTGCTGAAAGAAACTAGATTCTCCAATTCTGCCCTCTGGGGCATCCAACCGTGTCAATCACAGTCCATAATCACATCTGAAGCAGGTGTTGGGAATACGCCCTTCATCCGGGCTCCACAGCGTTGATAGTCCACTTCTAGCTTTCATCAAGTTTAGGGGGTCTAAATTTCAAACCGTCAGATTGTTTTTACTGTCTAGACATAAGATTTTTTGACACAAGAATTCCATTAAAAACACGGTCGATGCCTAGTCTGTCAGATGGTTGTTCCTATAATCCACTCTGGTTTGTTAAGGCATTATTGCCAAGCCTAGTTTATTTCTTTACTTTTTCCCTCCTCTAAATCCCTTGATTAAATTAGAAACATCTGCCAAGAGGAGACATGCAACAGTGAACTTGGGAGAAGGGGCAGTACACTCAATCTGCTCTTTGCCATAGGGCTGAGTCTTAGCGGATTTTATTGCTCAAAGCTCCACTCAGGGCTGGGCGTAGTGGCTCATGTCTGTAATCTCATCACTTTGAGAAGCGGAAGTGAGAGGACTGCCTGAGCCCAGGAGTTTAAGACCAGCCTGCACAGCTTGACAAGACCTCTTCTCCACGATAAATTTTTTAAAATTAGCCAGTAGTGGTGGCATGCGCCTGAAGTTCCAGCTACTTGGAAGGCTGAGGCCAAAGGATCACCTGAGCTCAGCAGGTGGAGGCTGTGGTAGCTGTGAGCATGTCACCGCACTGCAGGCTGAGTGACAGAGTGAGACTCTGACTCCAAAACAAAACAAAGCAAAACTCCACTCGGGTCTATCCTTTATCATAAGACTAATTTTCCAAATTTTCGAGCAATTAAATGTTTGGGCCTTTTTGATCTTTTCAATTCTGCTTGAAAACAAGCCATTCTTTTCTGGGTTTATCTTTTTCTTGGAATATCTTTATTTATAATTTTTTACATTTTTATTTATTTATTTTATTTTTATTTTTATTTTTTTTCCTGAGTTGGAGTCTCACTCTGTCACTCAGGTTGGAGTGCAGTGGCACGATCATGGCTCACTACACTCTTGCCCTCCTGGGTTCAGGCCATTCACTTGCCTCAGCGTAGCTGAGACTACAGGTGTGCTCACCACTCCCAGCCAATATTTTGATTTTTTTTTTGTAGAGATAAGGTCTCACTATGTTGAGCTGATCTCAAACTCCTATGCTCCAGCAAGCCTCCTGCCTAAGCCTCCCAAAGTGCTGGGATTATAGGAGTGGCCCACCAGGACTGGCCCATCCTTTTACTTTTAACTTTTGTGTAACATTTTATTTAAAGAGCCCTTCCTTCCTTCCTTCCTTCCTTCCTTCCTTCCTTCCTTCCTTCCTTCCTTCCTTCCTTCCTTCCTTCCTTCCTTCCTTCCTTCCTTCCTTCCTCTCTCTGTATCTCTTCTTCTTTTTCTTAGAGACAGGGTTTTGCTATGTTGCCCAGGCTGGAGTTCGGTGGCAAGATAATAGCTCACTGTAGCCTCAAACCCCTGGGCTCGAATAATGTTCCTGCTTCAGCCTCCCAAGTAGTTGGAACTATAGCTGTGAGCCACTGTTCCTGGATGAAGAGAGTTTCTTGTAGACTGCATATAGCCGGCTTATTTAAAAAATTATTTATGGTAATCTCTTTAATTTGTGTTTATAGATTAGTTAATTAATTTTATTTTATTTTATTATTTTAAAAATAGAGATGAGATCTTGCTATGATGCCCAGGCTGGTCTCAAACTCCTGGACTCAAGCAATCATCCCATCTTAGCCTCCCAAAGTGCTGGGATTGTAGACGTGAGCCGCTGTGCCCGGCTGGCTCTTATTAAAGGCAGAATGTAAATATATATTATTAATTTGTCTCTTTCCAGTCACTTTTTCTATAGCTACACGTTTCACACGTGCTTAATCTTCAATGCTGTGTACTCATCTTTCTCTTCCTGTCAACAACATTAAAGAGAGTTGCAACTCACTTCCGCTCCCCACCCCCACCAAAATACATTCTTCTGCTATTCAATGGTGGTGTTCTCTCTAAGATTTCTTCCTACCTTCCTGTTCTCTCCTTCTTGGTCTACTCTGCTAGAAGTGCATCCTCTTCCTTGACTTTAAATAGGAAAGTTCCCCAATGGTCAGTTCTCAAACCTCTTCTTTACCTAGACACCCTTGAGGGAGTTAATCAATTCCATAGTTTTAAATCATATTGCAAGGACTAGTCTCATATTGTAATCTTCAGCCTCTGCCTTTTGGATAACATTTTTATCTAAATAGTGATATAATTGTGCTTGTTACACTAAAGAAATGTAATAGTAAACACAGATGAGGTGGAAGAAAAGGCATAAACTATACAAAATTATATATTTTATATGTACTCGCTTACCCAATCTTTTCTTAAATGTAAACTCAATAACAATAGCAATTGATGTCTCAGATGTCATATTCTCAGATGCCTTACATATTATAGACTCACAATACATATTTGTTGACTGGATAATACACATTAATGTTATTTTATTTTAATAGTAATATGCTAATTTTCAGCATAACTCATGTGAATGCACTTATGCATTTTCTGACTAAATAACATTAACGAGAACAATTTTCCGCTCGTTTCCAGATCCCAACGCGCTGGCTGGCCAGACTGGCCCCGACCATGCTCTCATAGGAGGAATAGTGGCTGTAGTTGTATTTGTCACGCTGTGTTCAATATTTCTGCTTGGTCGATATCTGGCGAGACATAAAGGTAAGTTATATTTAATGAGCATCCTCTTAACATTAGCCAACAACTTCTAAAAACTAGCTTCATCGTGAATTATTGTATGAGTGTGTGTATCTGTTTATTTCTCGGAGTGTGTGCCTATGGGTGTGTGCGAAGAGAGAGAGAGAAATACTCAGGGAGTTCTTAATTACTTCACTCAACTTTAGAGTGGGATTGGCTTAGCAAAAGAATGTTTAGCCAATGGCCAAAGGTCGCAGAGTGAGCCACTGATGAGAGGAAAATAGAAGAGAGTTTGCTATTTATTTCTAGATCTGAAACCCAACTATAATCATTTGGTTGATGATGTGTTTGTAAATATATGGAAACGTGTAGCCAAAGTAGCAAGGAAAATATGTGAGATTTCACAGTGGACCCAGGTAACAAACTATCAATGTAATCTACCTTTTAAACAGATTTACCAAAAAGAGTGGTAATGCATTTGAGGCGTGATCACTATCAATATCTCAACAAAGGCCTCTGATTTCCACAGCTGTGTAGCTCACAAGATCTTCGGCATTATTAAAGAAGCCAAAGTTACATAGTACTCATCTCCGTTTGGCTAAGATCCTCTAAACAACCAAGCCGCAGTTTCACATACAGCATACACCTGAAAATGGAAAGAAACAGTTCAACTTCAGAAGCATGGGTTGTGTGACATGTC